ATATTGAAATGTGATTTTAATACTAGATGTCTCATCGATTAACCTATCTGATGCAACAGCACAAAAGACTTGTATACCGACTTGAGTTGCTGTTGGTTGCCATGTTATCGTCAATGACCACAATGATGAATTGGCTGTATTTTGAACAAGTGCACTTTTTGTCATGATGGGAAAAGATATAGTGGCAATGTCATTCATTGTTCTTCCACTGCCGCATTGATTAATAGCGGTCAATGTCATCGAGAAAATGGTTCCAACCTGTACACCCAAACAATCATCATTGTTCACACTGCCTACTAGAAGAGGCTTCACAGTACAGCTTGGAGTCGCATACACATAAATCAGAAATTGAAGGGGAACAGAACTCATTGGAATGCCACTGGAACTAGTCATAAAATCTTCGACCTATTGGCAAGTAGAAAATCAAGCTTACAATGAATAGATCCAAACAACAATCCAGGACCTGTATTGCAACAAGATAATAGTTGGCAGCAAGTGGTCCAGTAATTGTGAGAGTACACGAAGAAGATAAACTCGTGCCTGATGGCAATGATCCTGGTGGACAAGTATTGAAGCATTCCGATGATCCATTAGCAAATCGACATCGAATGAAATCATTGTCCGCATCAAGAACTGGAATTTGAATTGTCTGTGTAATGCCAACAGGAATACTAATGTAGGAGATACATGTAGCCACTGGTGGTGTGTTTATTAAACCATTATCAGATCTCATGCGCAGATCTATAGTACTGGAAAGACTCCAGCCTATAGAGCTGCTCAACGCTAATGTTTGCCAGGCATTGGTTAAAGAAGTGTATGCTACAACGAAATAAGATGGGGTAGTCAAGTTGATCATATCAGATCGTTGACTGACTGTCAAGCCCAACGCAATAGAGAAATCAGTACATGGGCCAACAATGAGTGCTTCATTTCCGACATAGCCGCCTGCCGTTGAACAATTAGCAATACATTGCAGACTTACATTATTACCCCCACGTGTACTCAGATCAATGAAAGGAGACTGAGTCGCAATCATGCTAGTTGTGCAAGGAATTTGCATTTTCGTCCATGTATATGTTTGAGTGATTATGATTGAGACCTGACTTCCAGTTGTTACATTGTTATTAATCGGTTTCCAAGTGATTGTGCCACCACGAAAGTGACTTGCTTTGATTGTGACAACGAATAGTAACAATACGCACATAGAGTAAACACGACACATCTACTATCAAACGTAAAAAGACAACCACAATGTCACTTCGATTTGTGAAGATTTCCTCAGGCTGTCTCGTTATAAGAGAGTGTGGGTATGAGTATGTGTGTGTAGGTGTTTCTTGACTCACATCTATACTCACATTATTTCCGTTACTCTGGCCATGGATGTAAAGAAAAGAACTACGATTTACAAAACAACTCTATTAGTTTGGATTTTATGGAGTATCATAAAAACAATTCTCTCTAGTATTTAAAAAATTCAATAATGACTCTTCGAAATTCTAATTGCCATTCTACTACTGTTATCTCTATACAATCGAACAGGAAAACTAGCCTAAAGACTTTCCTCTTGTTACAATTGTCCTAGATGAAATTAGTTGTGCTTGATTATATTCAAAGCAGATTTTCTAGTTTCTCAACAGAGCTTTCCTATCTTTACGAATCAGAGACTGAAAGCGAATCGAACCGAATCATAATTTAAAGAAATTAAGTCGAATCGAATTGAATCAGATGGGACCAATAAGCGATTCGAACAGGATCGGTACAACCAGATTCGGCTCTTATCAACACCAGCAGTACTGCTTCATCTTCTCTTTTTTATCACTTTGATCTTAGTGATTTTTTTCAATCTCTTTCATTTCCTATGCTGTCGAATAGACAGTTTAGCATCACTAGGTCAGATTGTCACTGAGTGGTACAACAATCTGAACCAATAAGGATTCAGTGACATCAGTTTGCTAAGCTTTAATGGCTAGAGAATATTTTATCAGTCGCTCGTTCTGCTCAGATGCTCTCTAATGTCGCACAACTTTCTTTATCATTCTCACAATCAAAGGCAATCACCAGTTTCAAATGCCTATGTGACACTAAACGTAAAACGTTGCGCTCTTTTTCCAGAGAGCGACATAATACTGCTCCTTGAAAAAAGTAAGAGTATTCACTGCTTGTTGACAATATTCGTTCGAAATCACTGTATGTTGAGTTAGCAAAAATCAAGACACCCTCTTCTTAATCGGAAACATTCAGTAAAATAAAAACTCGAATTGAGTTGAATCGAACCGAATCGAACTAAATTTCATCTTGGAGAAAATAGATCGAACCGAATTGTTATTTTTCCAGTTCGTTTCAGAGGTCCAAACAGGGCGCCAGAGTTATTGCTCTACCTGAGCCTGACCTGCCTGTCATAGGCACAGACGACGATTTTCAGAGCAGTACCAATCAGAGGTCCAAGCAGTTGCCGACCTGTCGGCCTATCTGGACCTGTGACTGGCACTGATGTGAAAATCGTGGTCTGTGCCTATGACAGACAGGTCAGGCCCGGGTAGAGCAATAGTCCTAGTGCTCTGTTTGTAACTCTAGCTTCTATTCTACCATCATCACTGTATTTGTTTGAAAAGGTTGACAGGCTCTGACAGACCGTAAAGGCCTCCGAAACGTGCCCTGTTTGGACCTCTGGTTCGTTTCGGCCTCTGCTACGGATTTTTTTCTAGTTCTGCTTGCTAATAAGTTGACTACAGAACTACATCAATTCCATGATCGAATAATGAACAATCTTACTTAGACAGCACGAACACGCTCCTATATTAATATTAGTTTCAGACTTAGCTCTCAAGATGCAGATGATTAAGTCTGTTAGATGAGATTGAACTGCTCATGCATTTAATTAAAACAGCCTCAGTCGTACGATTGTTTTGTATCACAGATTGTAAAACTTGAAAATATTGTATTCTAATGAAGTATGGTCTGTTTGTTGACAATGATTATGTGTACACATATGCTGTTCTTGCATTCATTTATATGCGAAATATTGATCAGAGTCTTTTTTTTCTTGTTAAAAAATGAATTACTTTTTTTCTTAACAAATATGAGGAAAGGATTATTTGAATAATTCAACAATCTTTGTTAATGTAGATTGAAGACAATAAAGAAATACAAGCATTTCGAAGAGTTCTGCATGTTCTATCAAACGAAGCTGCAGTCATCTGATTACATTCGAGCTGAACGGCAAACAAGAAGAACAAATGAATTCAGCAAACACCACTACTCGAAACAAATCGTATTTTTAGTGGCAATGCCGAGGCCTTGACAAATTTCTTAGCCTGATATTAGTGCGAAGTTTTTTGTCTGTCCATTCAATCACTTAACATGCCCGTCTCTCACGACCAACGTTGGTATGTGCTTATTCAGTGGGTGTGGGTGATAGAGACCTGCGGAATTACGTTTTTTAACTCCGACTTCGTTGTGAAAGTTTTTTTTAAATCCGATTCTGAGGGTGTGGGTGGTGGGTGTGATGTGAGTGTGGGTGTGGGTGTGGATGTGAGAGTCATGAGAAGACCTCACCCCACACCCACACCCACCCACCCACACCCTTATGCTGAGAATACTCGTCAAAGATTTTAAAGGAAAAATATGTTAGAACAGTTTACCGATATATCATATAAATCAAATTCTTCATTTATTGAAATGGTTACTTAGAAAATAAAGAAAACTCGAGTAATTTGGTCTAGTCGTTTATAGAGAGTCTGTTTCTTTATATGATTGTGCAAATATGTGACTGCACTGCAATCCCAACTGAATTTGTGACCAATGTATATTTCTTCGAGAATGTATCGTGTTTGAGTACCGCATGAACCATTTGACCCATACTCTTGTTGTAGAGAATTATGCTGTCTTTTGGCAAGTCACTTATCCATTCTCTCTTGTCTGCAGTACCTTTCTCAGTTTCAACAAATATAAAAGAAACGGACGCGCTTTGTGGTTGAGTCTTTGCTAATGTCCTTGCATAATGTAATTCTTGAAAGTTAATTATACTATCACGGTAAGCATTCGATACCAAGACGATAATAATAGTTGCACGTTCAATTATTGGAGCCACGCAATCCCACATATCCTCAGACGAGCTGATATTTTCGTAATCAACCCAAATTCGTATTTTGCTGTATATGCGCAATTTTTCAACAAATGATTTGCAAAATACTTCATCAATCCGGTTATAACTAATGTAGATTATTGGTTGCTGTTTGGTTTTTAATTGATGAAATGATGTAATAGGATTTTTATCCAACTTAAGGTTGCACCAAATTCGTTTGGCAATATCTTGTTTTGGTCGTTTGGTGAGACCTTCAACAAGAATACAAAACTCGTCATGTTTACGCAATTCTGCTCGATACTCGACATTATTCGAAATACACAAAAGGACATTTAGTAAAGACTCCCAAGTGATCTCCTCGAGATAATCGGCCCCTTGATTAATTGATAATCCATAGATAGATGTGAGCAGTTCTGCAAAAAATTTTATTCTCTCTGTTTTTACACTTGATTCATTGCCCAAAACATGTCGTATAATGGACATATTCGAAAAAGCACGTTCAAGTGGGCCGAGGAATTCCGACAAATGATATTCATTGGATCGCAAATCTGTAAATTCGACGGCTTCCTCACACATGTCATATAAATTTTCAGTGACTTGACAAATGAGTTCTTGGTTTTGTTTTTGATCATCATCACTTGTAGTTAGTGCAATCAATGACATGCCCAATACTCGCTTCAGCATGGGAAATTCATCAATATTTTCTAAATTCACAGATCGTTTATATTCCATTAGAATTTCGAAGGCATTATTTTTTCTCAAAGTGTGTAATCCATTCGTGTGTCTCGAAAGATTGTGAATAATTGCTATTACTGCTTTATCGAATTCTCTTTTAGAACCGATAGATGATAAATTCTTGATCCATTCAATGGCCGCTTCAGCATAGCCAGCTTTGAGAAACATGGGTACAAGTGGAGTTTTGTCGATCCAATTCCATGTCATGCTTAAAATATCTTTGACTATTTTCATACGTAGGCTATCTACGGAGCGATCATTAGTATCGGCAAAAAAGTCACTAACAAACTCCCGAAGAACAACCATTAGATATTGATACTTTTTGCTAAATTCATCCATCAATCGA